CCATACATGAACAGCCACATCAGTCTCTCAGTGGAAAAAGGACCACAGAGCTCCAGCCATTTCGCAAACCAAGTTGATCAAGGCCACAACCAAAGCAGAGCTGTTTGTCTCTTCAGATACCCCAAGAAGTGCAAGGAGTGCAGAGATGTACCTTTCCTGGGATTACTGTCCTCTAGGGACTGAACTACCGTGTAGAAACACAAGTAGAAGATCTAAGAATAAAGCAGAAGATCTAAGGAAAGAAACAAGTGGAATACCTAACTAAGAATCCAATAGGGTACTCTGAATTTGCATCTTAAACATTTCTTTCCACGCCACGCTGTAGAAACACAATGGAAGCAGACTTGGCAAATACCATCCATATGTTGCACAAAACGACTGAGGGAGCACAATGTGAACATTACTCCTGGACTGGATCAAGAGAACACATTAAAAGAAATGCGTAAGTGGAATATAGATATACATGAACTCAATGTTTGCTTATTATGGAATTAAAAAACATATACCTGTAATTATGGCTTACCCCCATTACAAGCAGGGCTGCCACAGAACTGAACACAGGCCAGCTTTGTGCAGGAGTTCAAAGCCAGTGTGATGTTGCCTTATTTTCTTACTAACATCATCTTTATCCTCTCTTGCCCTTCTTCTCAGTTAACAAGAGTTATGTACTGAAAGTGCTGAGATAAAGTAATGGTAAGGAGGATACCGCAAAAGGTATTTGAAAAGCAGAAGTAATTTACTACATGTCTGCTTTGTTTTACTTCCTAAGCCTTCCTGTTGTGAAAGGAAATTCATCTTTTCTGGCAGACTCCAGCCTTTTTAGGTCGGAGAGCTCCCCAGGAGCTTTCGAGTGCAGGTAAATGGATGTGAGACTCAAGGAGAACAGCACAAGGAACATGGGATTAATGCTGGGGTTTGCTTTGGCTGTCACATCTGAAGTACAAGGGGACTGCTGCACCCTTGGTCACAGGAAATTTCTGCAAAAGAAAGAAAGCTGAGTCCTTTGCTCATCTCTGCAAGCCCCATGTGCCACGAATGGAGAGGTCGTGCTGCTGGTGGTGGGTGAGGATCTACACGGAGGATCTACACCCAGCAAAGTGTCAGCATGAGACAGACATCAGGGTGCCTCAGCAGAGCAAGTGAAAGCCCAGAGGAAGGGCTGTGGATGGACAGTAGGTGCAGCCTGTATCCTGCACACAGGAGCAGGCACGGGGGAAGCATCCACTGCCTAATCTAAATAGCACACAGAGTGGTTTTGTCCTCTCCTGTTCTCCGGCCAGTTTGCACATATGTTCTGAGCATACAGCCTGCCCTCCAAAGACCACTTACAGGGGCAATCACAGGGAAGCAAAGCAGGAAGAAAAGTATCCAAAAAGGGAATTTGTTCAAGAGAAAGAAATGGAGACAGATGTAGAGCGACTAGTCACGGCTGGCGGTAAATAACCCTCTGCCTGGAGTGCTCCCTTTCTCCAAGAGGAGTTCACATATTCCATTTCATACTTCCTTTCTAGGAAGTCAAATCTTTGTTTTCCTGGCATTTGTTCTTTTCCCCTTCTGTATGGTCTAAAGCTGCCTTCTCATTTTCCCCTTCTCTTCTAGGTTTTGCTCTCTTTGAAGTGCATTTCTTCCATCTCCCTCTCACACAGCCCTGATTTCCCTGCACTGTCCCAGGCCACACCTTTCACTACCACCCTCTCCCAGGGCCTGTGCCACCAGCACGTGTGTGCTTCACACCTGCTCCAGCGTTTGATTCTCCCCTCTTTCTCATGTGCACACCTCAAAATTAAGCAGATGCGACACACAGAGATGGAATATTCATCCTCTCGCTCCCATAAACCTGTCAAGGCATATAGGCCAAGAAGCTATCTCTGCATAAATCTAAATCTCCTGTGAGGAAGCAATCTACTCAAAGGCAATAAAGGCAAAGGATGTATTATTATCTTTGGTGTGGATCCTACTGGGCTGGGAGGTTGGCTGCTGGCTCCTCTCTGAATTTTCCTTCCCAGCCAGAGCAGCCATCCCACAGACAAGTCTAAGCTTCCTTTCCTTGGTCTGATTTCCTCCTCCTGTTGTTTGGCCAGTAACCCAAAGGACAGGGTTTAATTATGGACTTTGGAAACCTGGCTTGCACTGCTCTGCCAGCACGGGATAAAACCTCAGCCTGTCTTCTGAAACAGCACCACTCTGCACTGATACCTGTGTTATCCCACACAGCACCAAATGAGCTGTAGGGAAGAAATGCCAAGTTAAACAAAAAGATGGGTTTAGCCTTTAAACTTCTACTGCAAATTTCACCGAGAAGAAAACAAAACACCGAAGCTCAGAGATTACTGTATGCTAAAAAACTGTGCCACCATTTTGATTGTAGATTAAATAAATGGCAAGGCCTTTCTCTGGAAATTAAGACATCGGAAGGGATGGATCTGAAGCTGGTCCAGGCTCCAAAGCTCCCTCTCAGACAGGACTGCTGTGGAAAGCCCCCAGCTAAAATGGGATGTTAACATCACTTGTACAGTCTTCAGGTGACCAAATAATCTTCTAGGCGGATGCCCCACTAAAGACTCCTCTGGAGGTGAAACCCCCGTGTCAAACACAAAAGGCCACACGTTAGTGTCACACCCAGTGTGATGTCTGTGCACGGACCACAGCAGGACGTGTCACCTCAGGCCAGTGACACACCAGCGCTGCCCTGGCAGGGAAGGGCACTCAGCACTGCTTTGTCCTTCACCACTGATGAGCTGTGGCCCTTCAGGCAATCCCTCTGTCAGCCGTGCTCTTGCAGTGACCCTGTTTTACGGAGAAGCTGAGGCAATGAATTCAGAGGACAGGCTGCTGGAAAGCCAGGGCAGAAGCACCGGGGTGGGGCTGCGTGGATTCAGCAAAAGGATGGCTTGGAAGTGCATCCCACGTGGGCAGGATAAAGAAAGCTCTTTTTCTTCACAGCTGTGACAGTGATAGATGGCTTGGTGAATCTGAGCTATATCTAGTTGGTACCTGGCTACAGTCCCTGATGCTGCAAGGTGATTTTCTGCCATTTTAGGAGCAAGATTAAGCAGAATCTGGGCTTTTTCTATAATAAGTGAGGAAGGTCATGAGGAAGGAAGAACCTTCTCTTGTCTGACTTGCTCTTGCCTTTCTAGCACCTCAGGAAGTTTGACACAGGCAGCTGTGCTTCCTCATGACAGGCACCCAGTGATGCCAAGAGCAGCAGAGGTGCTTTGGAGGTGTAAGGCTTTGGGTACTTCCCTTGCCCAGCTCAGCAGCTCAGTGCCACCATCAAGCCAGGGCTTGGATGAGCCAGAGGTAATGAGCACATGTGGGGAAAACCACCAGGAGTGACAGCAGAATTAATAGCCAACCTCTGGCTGCTGCACAAATGGAGAACATTGGTCATTAACAACGAGTACCCCAAACTTTGGGGGGAGCTGTCCCCCAGCCTGGCAGTGATGCAGAAGCAGTGACCCCATCAGTTTTCAGCCATCTGTGTCCGCAGAGCAGGCTGGGATCTCTCCCTTTAAGCCGAGCTTTTGTCCGCGTTTCTGCCGCTCCGCGAGCAGAGGTTTAGCGCGAGGTGAAGCTCTGCCTTACATCATCTGGAGCCTGGAGCTGATGGAGGGGACAGCCCCTGGAGCTGGGGAGCAGGACACCTCAGAGCAAACACCAGAGCCCTGGGGACGGCGGTGGCAAGGCAGTCACGGGGAGCCTGGCACTTGTCTGCCTGCAGGTCCACCCTCTCCTCCTGCCAAAGTGGCACATCTGCAGTCAATAAGGGCCCACAAGCTGGCTCCTCCTCATTAGAGGAGAGAGGGCAGCTGGCAGGGGATCCTCCAAGGGCTCCCAGGCACAGGAATCAGTCTCCTCCCAGTCTGGAATAGCCCAAATTTGGTGACTTTCTGGGCATGCTGTAAAGGACAGCTGTTTGACAGGGTCTCCAGAGAAAGCTGTGGGTATGTTTCCTACATGATGAAGGATATAGGTGGCTGGCCAAGTGCCCACAGAACTGATTTTAATGCTGTGCAGGTCGAATTTAGTTTTCTGTGCTCTATAGTTCATTATACACAGTGCCCTGGACAAGCATGTGTTTTTTCCAAACAAACCAGACCCATACTATTTTAAATCCAGACGAACAAGAAAGACAAAAAACACGGATTGCAAAAGATCCTTTGCACTTTTAGAGGACCTTCCCAAACCCTGGGAGGCACTGCTTGCCTTCCTCTAACAAATAAGACTTCTGTTATTTTTATTGGCAATAAATACTTGATTATTTAGCTGTAAGCAACACTGAGGCATTAACTTCACCTGTGCACATAGCACTGACCCAGAAAAATATTTCCAATAGTATTAAACACCCAGATGATCTCAGGATAAGTGATCAATGGACAGTTAAGTATGTAACGTAACATAACCCAAAAAAATGATCGACGGGAAAGATCACACACAAAAATTAACTGAGAAGAGGCCAAAGAGCTTCCTCAACATTCTGAAGTGTAACAGCCAGTGATGTCTATTTTGATATGAAGCCTCCAATCACACTTCACAGCATTACAGATTAATAAAACAACTCCTTCTGTAAGTCTCTTAAAAGTCATTACTGAGTGATCTCAAGTGTTGTATAATCCTTGAAAAGTCCTTCTACCTTATATAAGTTTAGGGATATTTATTTAAGCAGCGTAACTGATGGAGCACAGCCCAGACAGGTACTGCTTTTTTGCTAGAAAAAGCTATCCCAGAACTGAATCTGGACAATTTGACAGAAAAAGACCGCCTATCTTCCTCTGCATTATTTAAATACTTCAGATATTTGGCCAAAACACAGAAGTGACACACTACAGAAACATTCACAGCTGCAGGAGCAATAAAACCACTGCCACATTTTCACGAGGCCGTTTCTCGGAAGTGACGAGACGTCTAGAACTGGTCACCTCTCTAACACAGCAATTCTGATAACGAAACAGAGCAAGTGGAGATGATGTTCTGGGGCTCTGGGAGCCGGGGCTTACCTGGCTCCACTTCATGCCATCCACTGGACTGGCTGCCACTGCCCGGAGAGCGCCCTTGGCTTGTGTAGAACGGCTCCTCACCAGGGCTGTCCATCTCATCCTCCACAGACTTGAGACGTTTTGTGGAGCTGAGAATGCAAGAAACACATCATGAAGGCATGGAAGAGGAACCCAGGCACTGCTGTTGAGACACGCTTGAGAATAACTCAAGGTGGAACAGATTTAGGGAGCTTTGGTGAGATACAAAACAACATTTCACAGGCCAAACCCCTAAACACGCACCAGTTTGACCAGAAGTTAGTCTGACATTTAGGCTTTCACAGATTCAGAGTAGGACATTTTTCAAAGCACGCAGAGGTCAGTAAAAAGGCAAGAATTTCATTTGGATTGCGTGGTTCTTGCAGTTTGAATGAATATGGTGATGACACACCAGACTTATTTTCACCGCCAGATTTTTTCATGGCTAATTCTGAAAGCAAATTGTTTATCAGTTCAAACTTTTATTTTCAGTCTTTTCAATTAGCTCAGACTTCAGTCCCATAAGAAGGAACACAGGCAAGTGAATGATGGAAGAATCCATTCTTGGTTCAAATGTTCACGTTATCCTACAATAAGAAGCATTTGAGTCTGCAGCTGTGCCAGCAAGCACAGAAAGCCCCCAATGGGTATCTCTGGCCAGTGTCAGCATTAAAGAATCCCCCTGTGAGACATCACACCTCCCTCACCAGAGGCTCAGGACACAGAAGAGCCCTTTGAGTGGTCTCTGGTGGCCGCTGGCTCCAGCAGTTCTGCAGGGAGAGGATCCCAGAGCCAAAGACACTCAGCTTGGCTGTGTTTTCCATAATGAGTTGCACAGACCGTGTGGGGACCTTACTGAGAATTTCTCTTCTAAGTACTTTTCCAAGGCTGGGCCAGCTCAGTTTTTTTTTTTATTTTCCCCCAAATCTGTATTCTATTAAGACTTAAAGCATTCAAGAACAGGCTCCTCTGTGTAGGAAGAACACATTTAACAGACATAAAATCTTCCACTCTTGGTTTAGAGCTTGCAGCCTCCCCACCCCAAGCTCTGCACAGGTAGGAGCTGGCGGGTGTGCAAAACCAGTTGGTGAGAAACAGGAAGAATAAGTCTTGTGGCATGTGTGGAATGCAGGTTTGGCCATTCCTTAATTTAGAGAATTGTTATGTGTCAATAGGGGAAATTGTGTGCATACAATATAATTACCGCCTGATAATTCTGCTGAGTCTGTGTATTTAAAGAATTTTTTTTTTTCTGACTGGGAACAGCCTAATGAGAGGAAAACAAACATATTACCAAGTTATTAACTACCCATGCTGTTTATAATTAGCTCCTTATCAGTGGTAGCTATTTGCAGAAGAATAGAAGAGCAACAACTGAGCTCTTAAGTAACATTAATAACCTCACTTTTGCTTCTGGAGTCACCAGTAAATTCTACCTGAGAATGGTGCTAATGATGAGTGCTGTAGGCTACACAGTTTACAGGCAAGAAAGAAACAGCACAAAGTTTTTAATTGATGTGTAATGGGAATTGTAGTCACTGAGCTCCATAACGTGCACACTAAGTGCAAGACAGAATGTTCTTCCAATCACTGCAAGCTGTAAGAAGTTACAGCTAAGAGCCTCTCGTTAAAGATTATTATTTTTAAAATAAAAACAACAGCTATATTCAAACTACAGAGATTTTTCACACGTGCACTTGCTCACTGCAAAGCTGGTGGCACTGCAGGCTGAGATAAAAATGTAAAAGAGCGTTAGGCAGGAGTTAGACTTTCTTGTCATGTCTTTGAAATAAGTGATCTATTTTGGCTGTGGGGGAAAAAAATCAATCTGGTTCCTTAATAGTGTTCAAGACTACTCGAGTGACTGAGCTTGTTTATAAATCTAATCTCATGGATGATTAAAGTGAAAGGTAAAAAATAAAAAATATCCTTGTTTGATAGTTGGCATCTAAGTCGAAATCAAAATCAGATGGGGCAGTCATCTGCATTAGCAATTTGGTTTTCCAAAGGCTGAGTCACAAACTTCTAAATGCCTTATGAAAACTAAATGCTTTATAGACCAAGATCCTAAAACAGCCTTAGTCTCACAGGTAACACTTTTTACAATAAGGAACACATGTAAGTCTATCTTAAGACTTTCCTTGCATCTTATTATGCTCCAAGTTCTCTTCTGCCACAAGCTGAAACTCAGCAATTCCAGTGGAACTTCTCCTGATACACCCAGGTCCAACCAGGAGCTACACAAGTCCATGCAGCAGTTTCTCTTGCACACACAAAAAGAACTTTACTGCAATCCAGCTGAACATTCAGCTCTGAGCATCTGAAACAGCTCCACACCGTGAGGCCCCCAAACAGCTTGTCAGAAAATTTAATGGTTACTTTCCCAGATGAGTAATGATGCTGGCCTGGGTTTCCAAGGAACCTGGTAGCAGGCAGAGATTAAATTACCTGGTAGAGGATGTGCTAGGTAAAGACCTCCTCATTGCTCCTGGGCTCATGCTGTAGTACGAAGAACTTTCCAAATCTGAGAGGGAGAAATTAGGGCCTGTTCCTGCAGCTATCGGTGCTGGGGAAACAAAAGAGATTGCAGTCAGTTAGTCATGTGAATATGGCATGAATTGCACTTCAAAATCACTTTCTTCTTCCTCATGGGTGTGTTTAGTTTCACGATGGGAACAGGTGGGATGTGGAAATTAGGAAATGCTAATGGTACCTGGCATTGCAATCAAGAAGATGGAAATTTTATCAAGAATACAATGTTCCATGACATAGAATCTCTCTTACGTTCCTCCAAAGATATTATTATTATTATTTTTTAAAATTAAACAATTACGGCACGACTTCCTCTAAGCGCTGCTTTTCTATTAATGTCATTCCAACGTTTAATGAAACTTGTTGCTTTTAGGACCACGTTGTCTCTATTGGCATGGTTACAGATAGGCTGCATCATCCCTGTAGAGTGCTTGGCAGATCGATAAGCAGCACAGGCAGGGAAATACACACCTCAGAACCTCTGGGGTACACGTGATGTACAGCCACAAGCACAGAGGTTAAAAAAGCAGATGAGAAACTTGAGTTCTTTTCTGCCTAAGAGCATCTGAGCTTTCCTCTGGCCTCTCCTCCAGCTAAATCAGACCTAGAGACATATGGCTCCCCAAAAGTTTTATCCAGCAGTGACCTTCCACTCTTCACCTCATCACCTTACCCAGCAGTGAAATTCTTCTTGCAAGGGATACAAATCCCTGCAATTTCCCTGCCCTGGATCTTTGGTTTCACATCAAACATCACAGATTCCTACACACCCTGAAATTTGCAGGCACAAACCATGAGCTCCACGTGCTGTATCCTTCCGGGAGCAGACAGGGAGCAGAGCAGCTTAATGTTGAAGCCAGCAGAGAATGGATTTTGTGCCGAAATGCAACTAATACAGCAAATGGTACCATGTCCACTGTGGCTGTTCCAGTGCTATTCACAGGACAATGCAACTTCGGGGGCTGACAATCACAGATTGTGAGTTTCCCTCATGTTTCAGAGTCATCTGAAAAAGGACATCCTGCACAATGGAACGCACCAGCTTGGCCTGGGCTGCGTTGTCTGAGAGCCACAAAGGCAAAGCGGTCTCAGTGCCACACAGGGATGCTGAGCCAAGTTTAATCTTTGGTCTGAGAATCTGGCCCATTTTCAAACATGAAAAAAATCTTTCAGTCCAACGGGGAAGGAGTGAGGAAATGAAGACAGGATAGCTCCTATCACCCAGCTAACATGTCTGGGCTGGGAGTGCTGCCACTGACTGTAACGGGGCCAGTATTTCACCCCAAGTCTTAAGGAGCTCACAATGTCAGATTTGACAGAGGAATAATGTAGCTTTGCAGCTGCCTCATCATCCCCACAAGACAATTAGTTGTTGTTTGGCAAGGATCTTTTAAGAACGTCATTGAGACAGAAAGGGAACAGCCTGGATATCCACGGACTTTTAAAAGCCGGGGATGGAAAATGCACAAGGCCATTAAAACTTGAGAAAATCTGGAATGGTCATTAAAAGGAATTAAGTTGGGAAGTAATTTATGACAAGAACACTCAAATTCTTTGTTATCTTCTCTTGACTATCATATGCTTCCTGCACACTGGGTATATGAGAGGTTGTGTTAACAGAGGCAAAGAAAAATTAAGCACAGTAAAATTAACTCATTTTATCAATTTGTGCTTTCTGCAACAGTTTCCTGACAGCAGCTACAAGAGGCTGTAAAACTGATGAATTTGCATGGAAAAAGAAACCGGTGTAAGTAATTTGTGTAAAAGGTAACAGGGACATGGACTGCTATAATTCAGACACCCTGCAGATAGCAGACTGCTGCAGTGTGTGCAGTTATGGGTTAGAAAAATGACCACACTGCAGTCAGTCTGACTTGAATGGAAATCAATCATAAAGGTACTCTCTGCAGCATCTACTCTACAGTTTTCAGCAACTTCCTTGCCAAACAGATTTGTGCTCTGCAAACCCTTTCCTGAGCAATTCCTCTGCATTCTCTGCCTCCCAAACTTACAGGTTAAGCACACAGTTTTCCAAACAGGAACATAAAAAGGCAAGCACTAAATTAAAGCACTGTTTCTTTCTGAGGCACAATGAACTTCCTGGACATTGCCAGATTTATGAAACAGTTTTATTCCAAGGAGATAAGGAAGAAAAACTGGTATGTGGGTAACGCTTCCCTTCTTTCTTTCCTCCTGCCCTGTTTATTGCCCTTTCCCCAAATCGTGGACATTTCTTGAGTTGGCCCTATAGAAAAAAGGAATGTGTGTTCAGAGCAGGGCTAGGGTAGGAACAAGGTATTGCTGATGCTGTGTAAACTCAGTGCAAAGCAGAAAGGGCTGACCCCACAGGGGTTGCTGCCTGGGTAGCAAACACTGAGGATGCTGTGCTGGTCACTGGCCAAAACCACCTCGCCACACTCAAATGCCAGTTTGAAACCAAGGAGTTAAAGAACAAAACTCACCTTTAATAGACACCAGCAGAGGTTAAAGGGCCTGGCTGGGCTGTGGGGGCCAGTTCCTGAGCCCTGTAGCAGTCCTTGCACAGGAGCCACCACCCTGCCACCACCAGCTCAAGGTCTCTGGCCCCAGAAGTGCTGTGGCAAAGGTTGCACAGGGCTGAGCTGTTCCAAAACCCCTTCTCCTGCCTTTCTGACAGTGCCTGTCTTCCACCAAAGCCTATTTGTACCTTTGCTTGCAGTTATTGCATTTACTGCCATAAATCACAACAGCGTGCTGCAGTTGTGCCTGCCCCATCCCTGGGAGTGTCCAAGGCCAGGTTGGAGCAACCTGGGATAGTTGGAGGTGTCCCTGATGGAATGAGATGGGCTTTAAGGTCCCTTCCAACCCAAACCATTCTGGGATTCTATGACTCCCAGCAAAGGCAGCATCTCTGCAGAGCATGCAAGGGGATCAAAGTGGTGCAAACTGTGGCAAAACTCTTGTCTAAACTGAAGAACTCTGTCTAAACTAAAAAACTCTGCCAGAGCTAAAAATCTTTTGTAAACCAAACCTGTTCCTTGCAGCATGTGGCAATCCACCACACAACCTCCCTACCCCTGTTCCTATGCCCCAGGAACAGGCTCCAGCCCCACGAGGAGCAGCGTGCTGGGAGCTGCAGCCTCACAAACTCCTGGCAACGACATCTAAACCACACCATTACCCCTGCAAGAAATGCTCTGCAGCAAAGCGACCTCCTGACAGCTCAGGAACACCCCCCCAAATGGGAAAGGATGTCAGAAACTGCAACTGTGAGTCAAAGCAAAAATCTCAAGATGCCGCCTGACCCAGGGCTATGAGCTGGAAGGAGGAGAGAGGGAAGGATCCCTCTTGCCCCACACCCAGCCTGGAGCCCCCATTTCAGCTGCTGGCATCACAAAAATTCCCTGTGCAGCTGGGACACACTCAGAGGGGCAGGAGGAGCTGGTGTGCCCAAACAGAGGAGGAGGGGGGGAAGGCTGGTGCCTCTGCCTGACACTTTTCTACTCCTGGGATGCAGGGCAGCATCCCCTGCTCCCAGCCTGCTCCCTCCAGCTCAGCTCCTCACCCGAATTGTCAAGAAAAATAATGGAGAAATTAAGAAAAAGCCCTCTGACCAAACCCAATTTCAATATTTATTTTGAAAAAATTACCGAATTACAGAACAGGAAACCCACTCAATAAAACCAGCCAGGCTGGCATTTGTCTTCCTTGGAATATGGCACTTTCTTTAAGCCACATTAATATTTAGCCTCTCTTTTTTTCCCCCACTTGTGTGTATTTATTTTTACAGAGGGGCTGGGATGTGACTAAGATCATTACACGTGTAACACTGCAGCGAAGTGATAATGTGTTTAAGGTTAAATGGGAGAAACATGACATCTGACTAATAAACTTTTTCCTGTGTTGTGACTCCATAAACAAAGGGAAACACACTGTGCTGCTGCTGCTGCTGGGAGGAAAGGGGAGCTGGGTGGGTTGGTTTTTTTTTTTTTTTTGCAAGGCCTTTGTTTGCTCCACACTGTATCATTAGATTCAAAGAGGCTTCGCCGAATACAACAGATATGAAATGTGTGATGTTCATTTTAAAATTACAAGTACAGCCTGCTATTGACCATCTAATTATGCTGAGTTCCATTTATAAACATAGCTAACCACTAAGTTTATAGAGACTTTTTGTGCTGCTTTAATAGGATATTGATCGAGAGCAAGGTTTGAGTGGACTGCCATTGAATTGTGTAATGGCATACAAAAGGCAAGGTCACGGCAACTGTTCACTCTATGCCTGCAGTCTATTTTTTATTATAATCTTTTTTTCTCACTCTCATACCCAAGCCCACACAGAGAGTTTTGGATAGCAGTGCTTTCCTAAGGAATATAGAGTATCTTTTTAAATGTTAATTTTCATGCTGCTGACTTTAACTGCCTTCACTACTGTAGTGCTTAGTAAAGCAGAAATCACACAGGCTGCAGCTCAGGGAGAGAAGGTTTATCACACCCCGGCTGCACACACATGTCTGTGAGGAGGAGAAAAGCCTCTCCTGGGCTGCAAAAAGGCATCCACTGCCCAGCCCAGCCCCTCCACAAGAGCCAGGGCACCCCACACCTTGCCAGGACGTGCTGGGATTCACTTTCCCTGTGGGAAAAGCTGGACGAGAGGCACGAGGAGGCTGCTCTGTGCCTGGAGTGCTGGCAGTGCCTCTCCATCCCAGCCCTTGCCCTCATGGCAAGGACACTTCAGCCCCTGTCTGCATCCCCAAAGCTCCATCCCCAAGCCTGGCACCTGCTGCATCAGCGTGGATGCAGGATCCTGAGCTTCCCAAAACGTCCTGCTCACACATGTGGAATTAGTCGGAGTGTTTCAGGGATAATCAGCTGGACCATTTCTGTGCGTGCACAGGAGCAGCGAGCAAGTTTGTGTGCTCGTGGTGCCACAGGCCCACCAGAAGGATCAGAAATCCCCCCTGCTGCTCCTCACAGCACACAGCACACGATGAACCCAACGTGTGGCATTCTCAGGCCAGGGTGCAGTCAGAATTCCCTTGTTTATCAGCACGAAGAATGATGTCATTTTGACAAATAACACACCACCAAACAAATATGTTTGATTTGGCTCTAGCCGGCGTTCATAAATCCTAAATCTTTCTTCACATCCTGGGCAGTGCAGTTTATCTGGCTGCTTGAATGACCTCTGAGGGAGGAGATCTTCCCAGCACATGGTGCAGACTCCAAGCCAAGGGGGGATGCATTCCCCATGCCTTTCTCCCTGCTCCAGCCCTTGCCAAGGGAAGGGGACACTTGGCACCAGAGGGTCTCCTCCAGTGCCCTGAGATGGCTGCCCACAGCCAGGGGAATATTTTCCTAACAAGGGGAGAAAAGGAGGAGGTTTCACTTGGCCAACAGCTGGCTGTCAGCTCCCAAACCCGTCCATCCCTGGCGCTTCTGCCTCTGAGCCTTTTGTTGTCAGCACAGACCTCTCCAGAGAGGGAAGAATGAAGCCTCTGTTATCTGGAAGGGTCTCCCCAGTATCTGGGGTGACAGACAACACTCAGAGAGGAGCTCACACCCTCTGCCTGCTAATAATGGAGGAGAACTGACAGCATGAGCTGCAACACCCACATCAGATGGGCTGGAGAGGAGTCTTTGTTTTTTCAGATGCACATCTCTGATCTCTTTTCTCTGTTTTACTAGGCTCTGCAAGACTCAGCAGCTGGGCAGCATTTCGAAAGAAAATCTGCATCTATAGGACTGAAGAAAGCAAGTTTCTGTTACCAACACAGTCTAGACTTGTTCAATAGCTCACAGAAAGTGTGATGATCAGCACTGATAGGCAAGGTAGATAACAGAAACAGCTGACCTTTCACTTGATTAATTCATTCCCCAAATTTGCATGACGGAGACAACTGCCTCTTACTTGAGACTCCTTGTCATGTGGACCTCTGGGAACTTTACTAAATAAACCCAGCACAAAATTGCTACCCACAATATTTTGTAAGATTAATTTTGGATAACAGCTGCCTCAGGTCAGTTAAAACTGGGGGAAATCACTTATTTCTATCATTGTATTACCAAAAGCAAGCACAGGAAGAAAAATAACAGTGGGCATACACAAAGATGACCTTTTTGGAAAGAAAACTGGTCTCAAATCAGGACACAGGAACATGCAGACAACCCAGAGAGGGTTATATCAACTTTAAAAGACCTTGCTTACCAATTTAGGCAAATATGCAGCAATTACCTTGTTCCTCTGTTATGTTAAATAATTCTTTGAATATAAGCATGTGAGTTAATACTGAGTTTTCTGGGAATGTGCTGCTAGACTTGACACTAAACATATCCTACTGGGTAGCCAGGGCATGTCAGGCTGTGGGCTTCTCAGACCTCATAAAGTAAACAAGGTTAAGGCTGGTCAGTACATGTCTGGGGCATCTCCAAGGAAAATCCAGGGTGCTATCAAAAGCAGTGTAGCTAAATCAGTTGCTGGCACTCTTCCCTCTGAGTCAGTTCTGAAGTGATATCCCGATATGCTTTGGGGACACTATTTTTGGTAGAGGTGCTGGCTTGTAGACAGGATATAAAACTGAGGTCTTGACCTCCCAGGATTATTAAAGAGCCCGTGAAAAACAGTGCAAACTCCCATGTCTGGAACAGATAAAAGCTGAATCTTTGTATTTTTCCCACCAACACCTTCTTTCTTATTTCTAATAAAGTCCATGCTCTTCCTGTGTGCAGGTGCCCCATCCTTGAAGGTGGTGCACGTCAACTGCAAGCAGAGGGAACATCTCAGACACAGCTCATAATTTGCAAAACATGCTGAGTGCTAGGATTTCTGATACCCAGTGTTTCAGTTTAGTTACAATAAAATATCAGGGAAAATTAATAAGCTTGAAACACGATGCTCACGAGGTCAGTGCCAAGCTCTGGGGGAGGCTGGGAAGGCTCCAGCCAGGAGTGGGGCACTTTCCTAGGAAAAGTGCACACATGGAGCACGGCTGACAGAGTCCAGAGCTCTGCTGTGCAGGGCTCCTCCAGGCAAGATAAGGCTGTGGGGAAATGGGATGCCTTGCAGAGGGGGAGGGTGAACCCTTCAGGCTTCAAAAGCCTCACGCTGTCACACTGAAATGAAGTGACACAGCACGGAGACGCTCAGATCCTGGTGACAACCCGGGCTTGTCCACCCTGGCTGCAGGAACCAGCCCGTCAGATGCCAAAGTCTCTGCTGAAGCACTTCAGCAAGTGAACTGATTTGCAAATGTGCTGAGCACTCAGCAGCTCCTCTTGACTTCTGAGTCCTCTTAACTTTGCCCTGCTCTCAAAATTCCCACCAGTTGTCAGGGAAGGAAGCTCAGGAGAAACGTTTTCTTCAACGTTTTTCTCTCTGCCTCTCTCCAGGGCACAGAGCTCTTATGTATCTCCCACTTGCCATGCTTTCCTTGTGCCATCATTTTCTTGTAAAGCAAATTTCCTAGTTAGTGTCTTTCCAAAAGAGGAAATAAACCAGGAAAATCCTCGGAGAAACTCTGTGTTCTCATGCAAAACCACAGATTTTCTACTAGGTTTGTGCCAGTTAGATTCTAGCCCCAGAATGACTTAAATTACACTCCCAGAGCCAGCACACAAATACATATTTCTGCTGTCTAGGAGGAGAACCATTTTTATCATTTAAAGAGACTGGTTGTACCCTAAGGTTTTAAAGGGGCACAGAGCTGAGGGTTTCACCTGGAGCAGTGGTGATTGGTGATAATGTGATAATATCTCCACACTAGCTGGAGAAAAGTTCACAGAATGGTTTGGGTTGGAAGGGATTTTAAAGATCACCCAGTGCCACTCTGCCACGGGCAGGGACACCTTCCACAACACTTCCAGGTTGCTCCAACCTGGCCTTGGACACTTCCAGGGATGAGGCAGCCACAGGGAAGAATTTTTTAGATCCCTAAAGAAACCCCTACAGGCCTGGCTTTGCAGCAGTGTCTCTGCAAGACCCTGTCCACACTCCTTCCTTGGACTATCTGGATTATGCCATAGCAAAATACAATCAATGCACCTTTGATCAATGGAACAGGGTGGTGACAGGGGCTCTTAATTTGGTGTTGTTAGTGAGTATTGACAAGCCTGTAATGATCATGCTGCAGTGTGTCACTCATGCTGGGGGCATTAGCATTCTTTAAAGGTCACATCCCAAATCCTTCTAGAAGCCAGAATTCCATACAGCTAATGGAAAACGTGGGCCTGGGGAGGTCAGGACATGTGAGACTATCAGGGCTGAAGTTGGCACAGTTGTTGGCGTTATTAATGACTTCAGCAACTTGCAGGTGTACAAACCCCAAATTCAGGGACTACCCTGAGTTGGAAGGAACCCACACAGATCATCAAAGTCCAGCTCCTGGCCCTGCACTGGGACAGCCCCAAAAATCACACACACGGACGTACACGTGGCATGGATGGACACAGTGTGAAAAAACAGCATCAGAAAATTTCCAGGTTTATGTGCACAGGTCAGGTAATTTCCTGAGGTCTGGTTACAGTACCAAATACAATACCCTTGGATCCTCCAAGGGATCCATGGGAGGCTGATTTCTGTATGCATTTGTCTGCACTCTGCCCATTTTCAGCTGGGTACCAGACAAGCTTATCAACTTGCGCATGCAAGTTTGCAGAATCGAATTATTTATCAGCTGACTTTAAAATTCTGCTGGTTTTCACCCATTAAATTTTCATCCATTAAAAGAAGTGGCACATAAATGCTGTCCACTGGCAAGAAAGAGGGGAGAAGAGAGTCCTAATTTTCAAGATGCTGTTTCTGAACTGAGGAAGGGAACAGTAAGAATCAAAGAAAAAAAATAACTTGGATTGCAAAAACCACATAAATCAGACACAACGTGATACTTACTTTGTGAGACTCTTACTAGCTCAGTCACACTGAAAACACCTGATGTGACAAAACTGTCCTGGAAGCCCAAATGTCCTACAAAACAAACAGAGAGAGAGAGAGAGAACTGCGATTAGCTTCAAGCATTTAATGACAGTATTCTCAAATACTTTACTTTCATTTAGACTTAAAATGTGACATCTAATTTCCCACTTAGCAGTAATTATTGTTTATGTAGGTGGGTAACCAGTCATACAGCTATGTAGGCTGCTTTGTGGTTTCTATCTAGAGGTTAGGAAAGCTAACATGACACATCAGCAGGGAGATTTTTACATGTTAAAGCATCTCAACAGGAAATCTGAAACAAAAGAGGACTATTTTAATAAACGGTTACCTTGGATGACCCCTAATGACTTCACAACTGAAATGAAAATACTGTACCTGGGAAACAGACAGGACAGCTAAGTTCCATAATCGTTTTAAACATTATTCTCTAAAGAAACATCTGATCAGGATTATCTACCCATTCATTCAAACCAAACAAGATTTAAAGACATATTCTTCATTTTTCTAAGGTTACACTAGGGGGATCTTAGAAGAGCAGATGGTTAAAAAATATCAAATTAAGGCCTTTACAACTAAAAAAAAAAATTAAATTCTAATTTAAATTTAAATTAAAAGCTAGGTTTTGAAAGGAAAAATAGATCTCTGCATAAGAAAAAGTATTAACTTGGTGGGCTGTCTGTAGGAACCAGGGCGGAGGCATCCACGCTCACTCCCCTGTGCAAGGAATGCCTCTCCACTCGGTATCAAAATGTGATGGCACTTTACATAACAGCATTTTCCTTCTTCTCTGCAAACATGCCTACCACCAAATGTTCATTTAATTTTCACGGGTATGCTCAGTGACAAAGGAGCAGCCCGGGCTGCAGCCCAGGCCGGGATCCATCCGGCGGGACAGAGCCGGACTTCCATCAGAGGGAGGGCTGCTCTCCCCTGGCCAGGCTGACCTCCTGCTTGGAAATCGGGGTCACAGGAGAAATCGCAGGATAAAGGGATTATTAAAAGAACTGTAAAGTCCTGCTTGCCCACAGGATAAGTGGCATACCTTTTTAGGTTGTCCTACTTAGAGTCACCGATTCCGGCGCACGCACACATTTATTATTGAATGTTTTGCAGGGGCACCATCTGCTCTGTTGTTAATTGTTTGTCAGGCTCAGTACGATTTCCCTGCGTTCCATATATTCTCCTGCACCCCACGCTCATGCTGGGGATACCTGTGCACCTTTCTCCAGTGGTCAGAGCAACAGGACTAATGCCACCTGCACGTTTGTACTCCTGGCTTTCTTTCTGGGGTTGTTTAAACAAACCCAGAACGTCCCACTGCCATCTCTACCTGTGGAACGGGATGCAAAAAGAATGCACCTTCTGTACAGGTCTACAGAGGGTGGAATGCCAGGCAATGTGTCAGGGAAAGTCTTGGGAGAGATCTGCAGGGAGGTGAGCCTTTCACCTCCAGCCAAGATCTGATGGAATTCTGCTCCCACACAGAAGAAGTTCCCTGTTTCTGCGAGGAGCCCACGGTGCCAGATGAACACAGTCTCTAAGCTAACAGACTCGAGACAAGTTTCTGCATCAGGCATGTTTTTATACTCCAGAAATAATGATGAGTTTTCAAACTGTGTATATGTATATCTTTGGGCATCCTTGTGTATGTGTGTATACATATGTATTATGTACACAAACATATAAATATACACAAATCTGTCATGCTCCAGCTGTAGATAAATGTACTATAAAATATTGAAATTGATGCTGAAATTCAACACAAACAAATTCCTCAATCTGCAAACAAGGTTTTTATTTACATCAAGAGAATAAATTTTTCCCTACTTCAAATGAAAAAAAATGTTCTTACGGGCTTTTATTTTTCCTTATTTTCAATTTAGAAATAGCTCCCAGATAGCTGTAAGTGCTCTTGCCTGATCTGCTTTGTATTTTCCCACAATAAAGGTGATGACTACCTCATTCTGCTTTTTAGAAACGGTTGCTGCCCATACACAACGTTTGCTCATCGCCGATTTCCCAAGTATTTTTAATATGAAGATCTACTTTTCATATGCTGCAGCAGACCTGCCTATTGAATTAAATGATCTGTGAATTAAAAATAATTCTCTTAGGTCTTCACTGAAACCACTCATGTGCCTAAAATTAAGCATATGCTTAAGTGCCTTGCTGGATCAGGGCCAGGACGCTTACTACTCCGCAGAGCCCTTCAGAGGGAAGCCAGTCCATGCTATGTAACTTCTCACACTGTGCTCATCATGGCAGCATCTGAGCAACTTCCAGAAGTGCATCCAGCAATGCCACGAACATCTGCCACGTGTTGTTTTTTTCTGCAGCACACCACACTGGCTCTGCTCTGCTGTCCACTCCCACCTGCATTTCCCAGGCAGGTTCATGCCGCACGGAGAGTGAAGGTGAAATTTAAATATGGAAGGGAAAAAAACCCTGAATCACAGCCACTATGGGATATTTGGCTGATTTTTTAAAGGGAAAACCCAGAGCCCTTTGTAGTTATCCAGTAAAAATGTGATTGTGGCAAGGCAAACCATGTCACACACAGGTGAAACCAGAAATGAAAGCGCCATTTTAAATACATTCTAACTCTCAGGGCATGACAGAAGATGAATACGTTATCTTGGACATGCTGACTTCAGTATTCCTATCTTGGGTACACTTGAAATGTCCACTTACTCCTGCAGGAACATTCCTTATTGGGAGCACATGTAATAGCAATCATTAAACAACAGCACGCAACGAGCATGGTTAGATTTTCACCCTTCAATACCAAAAATAAACATTTCACAAATGGAAGGTGAATTTCACAACTCTCCAATTTGATATTTACTTATAAACATTAAGAAATCGGGGGCTTGCCTTGCCAATCATTAAGAATACCCTGATAACCACAAAAGCCCTGCCCTTGGCTTAGAGCTGGATCATGAACGTATTTCAGGGTATGGCTGGTCTGTGAATTTGCAGTTCAGTAGAACCCCATGGAATTTTTAAAGGTTTGCCTGGATGGCTCAGACTAAAAAATCCAGGCCTAAGACTCTCATTTTTGCTGAGCTTGGACAACAATGAGAGAAGAAAACGAGGGAAATAGTACAAAGAACTTAAATGTGTAAAAGAAGAATTACTGGGAAACAGTAGCACTGACAAAAGATGTGAAGCTAACATCATTAACAGGGGTCAAAATGTATCAGTTTGGCTGAATTCTGAACGAGGAGAAAAACAGGTAAAGCCAAGCAATTACATACGCAGATGTTAGCATTAGGAAGCTCCTGCACTGAAAAGTTGATTAAATATCCTGAAATCTCCCAAGATTTACTTTTCATAGGGCACTTTACTGAAATACTCGCACTGTGATAATTTTGCTCGGCATCCAAGAGATGGGAGATTGAAACTGCTGTGTATGACAGCTTTGTGCAGCAGCCACAGTTGGGTAGTAAAGCAGGTGCTCAAAATGAACCTTGCAGAGTTCATTCATTGCAATTTTGGGTACAAATTAACACACGTGGCTGGCCAGGGCAGGCCCTGACTCAGCAAAGCCGCTGGAGCACGTGCTTCACTTCCACCACACGCCTGACTAAAGCACGTGCTCACTGCCCTGCCAAACAAAGATGGGCTGGCAGCCTCCAGGAGGAATCAAAATAAATGGTTCAATCACTCCTTTAGTCAAGTCTAGGGGCAGGTAGGACGTAGCTCATCACCTAAGATCTTACTTCAGCCCACAAGGATGATCATCTTTCCGAAAGGGGGAAAAACACCCAGGATAATAAAACCAAACTGAATAAAGAAGATCAGGATAGTAACTAGTAAATCACTGTGCACAACAGCATGACTTTATGGTACCAGGTACCATATGGAAAAAACATTTTTCCATAACTTGATGGCTGCTTTAATTGGGGAGAAAATTCCCAGTGCCATTTACATATTCTTCTTTTGGATCCCAGCAAAGAAGCCAGAAGAAAAGGCTTCAATTGCTGGAGCCTAATTCTGATCTCTCTCAAAGAAGTTTTAAACAAATCTTTCTACACCGATCAAATAGAGTTTCACCTCATTTTCTCCTAATTTACACTGGCAGAGGAGAAATCAGGATTAGGACTTGTTGTCTAGTGCTATTTGTTTTGAATTATTAAGCAAACATTCCTATTTCAATGAGTAAACGTGTACAAAGGCAACTAACCTTCGTCCTAAAATGGAGTTTACAGGGAGAGTATTGTCTGCTTTCCCAATTAATGCAGTAAAAAGGAGTCTCAGACGTTGAGCTACCAATCAAGAGCTTGTGTTGTAGCTTGAGAAAATCATGACTGATGCAATTACTTTTATGTAGAAAGTCTGAATATAGTCTATAGGTTAAAGTTCATCGGGTTATTGTTCCTTAATTGAATATCTGAAGATGTTTTCAAGGTGCTCAAGGTATAATTGTTATTTAATTAGCAGGCTTCCTTGCATAATCCAACAGTATTATTTTTGCTATAAAATAGTTAGATTGCACCATAAATATACAAGGTATTTTCTAAACAGAGATACAGCCAGTTTCCTGGAAGTCAAACTTAAATAAAACCAGGAGAGGGTTACTCCTTTGAAGATGAAGAAGTTCAAATCCAGTTATTTTTCTTCCACTACAATCTGAGTGACAGTGCATTAAACTTCAGAGAACAGCTTTTTGGGACACTTTGATACCTTTTCAGTGTTTTGAAATTACACAAGTCCCCCAAACTAGCACTGAACCCATTTCTAAGGCTTTTTTCATGTTCAGCATCTCACTATACATAGCCATCTTAAAACCTTAAAATAGTAATAATCAATTAGGGTCTCAAGCCTATTATCTTAACCAAATGCCTGATTAAAAGAAAAGCCCTCTCTGCTCGAAGTGCAACTTGATTCCTTTTGGTTTTATCCTCTATCTAGATAATCCCATGTTTCGCAAACAATGCGGAGCAATAATGTGGATGAGAAAATTAATGTCTGTATCACACAGCACACGCAGGCCTGGAGAGAGGGGATGTTATCAGAGGGAACCCAGC